TTTATTTTATAACATACATTATAAAGAGATATAGAGAAGCTACCTAATATGGTATTTCTTGTCATATAGTCTCAATGTGACCACGATGCATAATTTGCATGCGTCTGCTGATCCACATTGGGCTCTAGGGTAGTTGGGTCATCATGCAACACGAACATAGCAAACCCAATTGTAGTCAGGTAGAGAGCATCTTATCCTGCCACCTCTTAAAGTCCACTTCAGTGAATGGTTGTGAGACTGGTACATGGGGTATAATCCATGGGCCAAGCCTAGGACCAACAATTTTGGTGACGAAGGTAGCAAAGGGTGCGGCCACAAACCCAGGAAAGCCCCCGCATCCACCTGGGACAAACCCATAAAATACACGGCTACATATAAAAGTAATTGGCCCAAATGGGGGAGTAGCAACTCCGGCTGCAACTCTGGAAACTCCTCTGCCAGGGGCTCTGGCAACTGTTCCGGTGACTCCTCCGGCAGCAGTGGTAGCGGATCCGACGACTCCTCCAGTAGCGGCGGCAGCTCGGAAGACCCCTCCGGCGGTGCTCCGACGATTGTTCCAGTGACGGCTCTGACGTTCTCATAAAATAGTATCTATTTTTTGATTGTTAGTAAAATAGCTATTGCAAGAAGTAAATCTACCGTGAAAACCGAGGCGAGGATGAATCATCTTTTCAAAAATTAGATACGCCCCGGTAGTGCCTCCGGTGGTCGGCGTTCTAACCCAAAGGTAAAACGGTTTCCGTTTTTTATGAGAGTGGCACCTTAGATCATCGGAGCTCCGACGAACAAAGTAAGAGAGGAACTGATCTGAGGAGATTGCCGAAAAGCAAGAAGAGATGAGAGAAAGAGGAGAGAATGTTATTGGTGTTTTTAGAATGAAGGGGGAGACCCTTTTATATAGGCGTCTCCACTCGGCCAAAATGACAGGGATCAATTACGATCATAGTACAACCTTAATTACCGATATAATTTATTCTAAATTCAAACCTTCCATTTGAGACGATCATAATTGATTCTAATAACAAACTTTCCGTTTATGACGATCATGACCGTTTGAAATAATTTTAATTTATTCTAATTTCAAACATTCCGTTTAAGATTATAATAAATTCATCCAACGAATAATATTTTATCCAAATAATATTACGATTTAGGCCATATACCCAAGTTTAACTTAGGGTTGCACAATTTGGTATGCCTCGAGACAGAAAAAGTAGCAAAAAATATGAACCAAGCCCCATATACAATAAAGAAATATTATTTATTTATTTTATCCAAATTAATCTAATTAATTTTGTTCACTGGCCAGAAAAAGTAGCAAAAACATTATGCAGTATTAAAAACACAACCACCAATTCTGTCTGCTTGACCGAAAGAGCTTCTCGTTATTGAAATCTGTTATCTTTCTTGGCACAGATGTTACTTGAATATACTTCGTTATCTTCGTTTTGGGTTTAATAGAAATCTAGGGATCTCGCTTAGTTGAATCCGTTATTGGAAGATTCGTCAAATGTGAACTTCTAAATAGAAGAGAAATTGCACGTCGTTTCCGACTTCCGTCAAGTGCGAATGTGCAGATAGAGAAGGAATCGATGGCGGAGGCGGTTATTTGATGGCGGCAGGCATCGCTGGAGAGGTCGGCGGCGGGCATGGCTGGAGAGGTCGGTGGCGACAACGGGCCTGGCTAAAGAGGTCAGCGGCGGTGGTGACGGACTGAGTTGTAGACGGAGGCAGCGCGACGGGAGAGAGGGTATCTGCGTGGTGAATTTAGGGCTTGTAAATAAAATGTGGCGGGAAGGGTTAAAGGGTTAATATTTATATATGTGTGTATATGTTTGATTTTTAATTTATTTAAATGATTATCGTATCATAATCAGCGAGTTGATAGAATGTATCATAATTCATTTATTGGGCATCATTTAATTAAATTATATAATAAAAGTATTTCATGGAAAACACCATAATGTATTATAGAGACATCATTTTGTGATACTGAATACATCTTTATAATTTGAATTTATACGATTTTAAAAGTAATTATTTGCAAACGTTTTTATTTTGTTTAATAAAAACTTAATCCTGAAATTATCGGAGGTAGCTATGATAATTTTTTCTAATTATTTTTTTAATTAGATATCTTATTTAATTTTTTAAATTACCAAAATACCTTCTATCAAACTCAATCGTTGAATTGTCAATAGAATTGATCTAACGAATTAAAAATATTCAGGATGATTCTGAATTTTAATCAACATTATATATATTTATATATATAATGAACACTCATTTGAGTGTTACTGGTTTTATGTTTTAATTTTGGGATGTTTTTTCATATTAAATATGAAAAAATGTATCGATCATATATAATAACTATTAATCATATCACAAATTACAATAATTTTATTTTTACATTTATTTATAATTATATCATTACTTGCTAATAAAATATTAATATTTTTTAATTTGTATATCAAAAATAAATGTCTGACATTTGAAATATCCCATTCAAAATTTGCTCATTTTTCTATCTTAGCTTATTCGCTCAAATCTTTTCAATTCTTTTTTACTAAAGTTACATTTCATATATATATAAAAATTATATTTTATTATCAAATTATTACTTTTACACAAAAAAAAAAAAAAAAAATTAAGGACAAAATTATCTTTATATACATTATTTGCACTACACTTTAATAAAATACTAAAAGTAAATAATAAAATTATTTGTAGACGGAGGGAGTATAAATTTTGTGAGTGTATACTTCCTCCATCCCCGTTGAAAATACTCCTTTAGATTTTTGTAATGATTAAAAATTAATGGATTAATATTTTTATTATTTATATTTATGTATAAATTAATTATTATAATGATATATTTATAATTTATGTGAAAATTAAAAATATTTTAGTATTAATATATGATTATTTTTATTATAATTAAAAATATTTTAATTGACAAACAAAATTAGAAAAAAAAAAAAATTACTTTCAATTGGGATAAGTAAAATTTACTCCCTCCGTTCTAAGCGCTTGCTTAGGAACAATAGTGAAATTTAATAGATTAATTATAGCAGCAATAATTTTATGTTATTACTTTTTTAAATAAATAGTGTTGTTGAAACTTTTAAAATAAAAATTAATATTCTCCCTCCGTCTATTAAAAAAAATTTCAATTTTTCATTTTAATTTGTTCACTCCATTTTTTTCTTTTTTTTTAGCAAAGTTACATCATACATAAGTACAAAAATTACACTTATTTTATCATTACATCACTATTTTTACGTCAAACAAAAACAAAATTATCTTTACACACTTCATTTGTATTACATATTAATAAAATACTATACAAAAATTATGTGCCAAAAGTAAATGAAATTTTTTTTGATAGACGAATGGAGCATATGATTAAAAAAATTAAAACGTTTTCAATATTTTAAATACTATAGTAAAAAATAGAATTTTATATCATACAAATAAATAGAAAATTAATTTATTTATTCATTTATAATTAGTATAAATTAATTTTAAAATATAAATAAAAATAAAAATATTTATTTATTGAAAATGAAACTAAAAATAAAATTAAAAAAAAATGAATAAATTTCAAAAAATTAATTAAATAAATTTATATTTATTAATTATATTTAAGATGAATAAATTTTTTAAACCAAATGATGTGTCATGGAAGGAAATGAGTATTATAGTTCTTTTAATATTAATCCACCAGTTTAAAAGGAAATTTGAAGGCACTGCCTAAATAGGTCATAGGCCCCATAGGCCTAAGCATAGGGTGATGTAACTAAGTAAGAAGCAATGGTGGGATTCGGTGCTGGTAGACATCAATCAACACCCTGATTCATTAATAACCATTATATTATATAAATGAATCTAATAACTTATATTAATTAAATAGTTTATATTAATTCAGGGATATAAGGGTAATTTTTTATTCATTTAATTAATATACCTGATTTTGTCTTTTTTTTTTTTTCCTTTCTCGTTCCATTTCAGCTAGCAAATATATTTCAATAGCATCTCGTTCAGTTCATTTAAAACATTTACGTGTGAATGAGAAAGTATTTCATATTATATTATACAACATGAAACTTAGCGGCATTTTCGAAACCGTATGACATCATTTTAAAATTCAATACATAGCATATTGTATGATTTTTTTAGCTGTCATATATCTAAATTATTGTGCAACATATTCATGAATTATTATACAATTCATTTTTAGTTAAATTCAATGAATTATTTCACAATACATCCATTAGTTCCATATTCCATTCAATCTTATTCATATTTAATATATCATATTCAACAATTTATTCATTCGTTAGGGTATTTTTTGTTCTACCTTGTCCTCATCCTTTTCTCATTTTTCTAGTGCCTCGTCCTCATCCTCTTCTCATTTTTTTGGGAAACATTATTTTCAATCTCAATCTCAACCTGAACCATATACTATAATATATTATTATTATTACTTAATTTATACTGTAAGCATTCTGGATTCTATAGTTAACATCTACAAATCAATCAATAAATATTTTTAATTGAAGTATTAACAGAGGGCTGCAGACAAAGACAAACAAAATCTGGATATTAATACACTCTTCTTAATTCGTTGATGCCGGTCGGAAGCAGAGAAAGTGATCGGTGATGAGGAGTACCGGTTGCTGAAAAGAATGGAAGAGAGGGAAGAGTGACTATAATCGGCAGCAGAGGATGGACAAGAGTTAAGAATAAATGAGGAAGAGACTGTATTGTTGGTGGTGCGGCTGAAGGACTACAACGTTTGGTTTAGGGTTTAGGGTTTAGGCCGCCGTAGGGCTACGGTGGTCAAAAATCGAAGAGGAGTTCACGATGGTTCGAAGAAAAAAACAGAAGGGGAACAAACGAGAATAGACAAATTAACCCAAAATTAATTTGGAACCTTTTAAAAATTTAATTAAAAAAACCATCGTAAGTTTATTTAATCTAGACCATTAAATTTTAATCAAACAAAATTAATTAGCATGGTGTTGATGGTTGCACCCCATGGACACCAGATCCACCTCAAAAAAGCAATTAACGTACTACAATTCTTGACATATTTCCTTTCCAAAAAGATCGAAAAGAAAACATGACATGGCTGGCTAAGCTTGTTCCATCAATATATCCAATCCACCCAGTCAGTCACACTTGTTATTAATGAATACTAACTAAAATCTAACGAAAAAAATCAAAATGTACTCACCTCTCTCTCAATGTGGCTCAACAAAAGAACATCGATCCCGCCACATTTTCGTGGAGACGTGGGAGCTCCGGGTCGCTCCCTTCGTGAGAAGCTTCAGAGTTATCGTCCAACTTCACCAACTGACTCACTTGTAGAGCTGCCAGATGTGCGTACCGCACAGGCGCAACTGCAACACAAAACCAAACCATGTCATGTCATGTGTGTGATGATGCATTCAATTCATTTGCAATGAATGAGGTTTTCAAGTACCGATGGAGATGGCGCTTGTGCTTCTTTGGTATCTGAGAAGAAACAAAAAGACAACGCAAGGAAAATCATACAACAACACAACATTAGCTAGCTAGACGTCCAAAGAAAAATCAATCTTACACGTAGCATAGTGAATTGATCAGATTTTGCAACTTGTTAGGGGAGAAACCGATCTCATCCAGCAACACATGGTAGTGAGCGGGGCAGGAAGTTCCCTGTCATTTCAACCATTCGTCCACCTTTCTTAAACAACTCACGGACAACCACAAAGAGTGATGATGAAAAAAATGGCGTACCGTCAAGCCTCTATGTGCACACATATAGAAATCATAATACATTGGGTGAACAATCTTGGTGTCAACAACAGTACCTGAAGCCAAGGGGGATTTATGTTAGCACTCCCATCATCAAAAACATTAATCCAAAGAAACTGACCTGGTGGCACATTTTCAGGGGCCGAGGCTTGGAACAGCCGGGTATGGTGATTTTTCTGGGCAATTATCACGGTGAACTTTGGGATATTTGTCTCTCCGAGATACTGATACGCCTGAAATTGTAAAAAACATGTATGATATCAAGCAGTCTAGTCGATACCAACACTTGAGGGAATCAAGTAGTGTGACAAGCAGAAAGAAATAAGGCACCTTTATCATTTGATCAAGCTCAACATTCACAACCTGAGAAAACTGTGATTCGCCAACGCCGTCCCTGGAAGATTAAATTGAAGCCAGCAGAAAATTATCAACAAGCGCCATGGATCACAAACCAAAGTGATTGATATACCAAGCACAGTAGAAAAACAACTCAATGTAAAAGATCATAATTAACACAATTAAACATTAAATCGTGCAGATAGATGAATAGAATATTGTACATAAACTCAAGATATAGAACCAAATCAATTTAAGAGTAAAGAAGCTGAAATTCAAACGGGAAATTGGAAGAAACAGAATAAATAATAACAAAAACTGCGCATAGCCGAAAAGATCCATGTTATGAATAGCAAAGTAAGTTCAAAAACAAAGAAAAATCAGTAACTGTAGACATATTTTAACAAATGTAGGCACACGCTTAGAAAATACGCAGTGTAGTATTACTGAAGTTTGCCTCCAGATAGCCCCGAGGTGTTTGTTACCTGAAAACAATTAATTGTTCTGGCTTACGTCCTCCACTAGTGCTATAGAAATCTAGGAGTAGTTCCCTGAGGCATAACAGCAGAGAAAACATTTAAGCGCAACAAGATTGTTAATCCAGTGCAAAATCCAGAACAATGGAGAAAATGAAAAAAAAAAAAAAATGTTTATGCATAAAGCACCTCATAATTCCGTCATCTTTTCCATTCTTTAGTGGCTTGAATAAACACTCGATCATCTCTGTTTTCGAAGCTTGAGATCGGACAGCTGCTCTATATTTTGATATTAGTGGCCAGCTAAGGGATCCGACGACCTTAAGAGCAACAAGAGATTAACAAATCTATTGATGAATTGTACTATAAATTGAAAAGGAGAATGCACGATAGTTTTATTGGGAGAAAACTTACAGCGGCAATGGATGGACAATCTGATCGACCAGGAGAGCTATGTGAAACATCCATCCCCAAGATCAGGGTTGGCTTAGCACTTATGAGTGGAATATGTCGTGAAAGCTCTATACCCAATAAGGAGTTGGTCCCTCCAAGCTATAGATGAAACGTATATATAATTATAGTAATTACACATCCAAAAGACTGCAAATGAAACACAAGTTTTACCAAATTAAGTGATTTACTACCTTAGAATTGATCTTCAGAAGTAAATTTGTCAGATATTGTTCATTGATCTTGAGAGGGGAAAGACACTGAGTGGCTATACCCCAGTAGCTCAGACATTTGAATTTCCAGGGTCCTGTCCGTCAATAGGAAGTTCATATAATATGTTACATTAAATGAATAAATGATACAAGAATCTTAGATGGTACCCAGAAACCCAAAATAAAAAATGAACGTCAGTACCATAGATATCAGAGTTCTTGCGATCCGGAAGCACACAAAGCAGAAACTGGCAAAGAGGAAAATCAGGAGGGCCAGGTATCTTGTCCATAATCTGCTCAAACATCTTTTCTACACGTACAAACGGACTTGCTTTTCTACATTGGGGGTCTTCTTCAATTATTGTATATGGGCGTTCAATTTCCTGAAGGAAAGCAAGAAGATAATCAAATCATGCCTGCATACAGACAACAATAATAACAAAGGATGACACAATAGAGCATACAATCCCTTTTTTCCTCCCACAGTTGATGAGCTCCCTCGAAAGATAGCTAGAGTCGCAACGTGCAGAGAAATTGACCAGTGCCCATCGCTCTATATGGATGGGTTTCAGAAATCTCTTCAAGAAACAAAAGACGCAGAAGTGAATTAGTGAATTAATGCTCCCCAAACCTACTTTCCTAACAGGTTTACGAAACAAAATCCTGGGATAACAAATGAACTAAAATAGACCATTCCTATGCATCCCATCTTTAGCAATCGTGACAACCAATATAGGATACCTTCTTAGTGAAATTCCAGCGACCATTACTTGGTAAGAACTCATCATTATCGCCTACTGTCAGCTGGAAGTAGAAGTAAACAAGTCTTTGTTAGTAAGTAATGTGCCACACATTTAATCATGAAACAGCAGGAACTACCTACCTTTGGTGCATCAAGGACCCTTCCATCTACTTGGGAAAGATGCTTTTCAATTGATATACCACAAGACAAAAGGAGAGGATCATTTTCATAGTTACAGTTCTTTACAGCCTGCATGATTTAAAGAAGTGAAAACAAGAGCAAACAAAAGAACTGAAAATTAAAGGTTATGAAAGAAAACTTTACATCAGTTACAACTTGTATCCTCTCAGAAGGCTTCTGCCTTGATTTTTCAATATAGGAAATAGTTTGGATTGTTGATAATGCTCTTTTGTAGCGCTGAAGAGAGATGAGGGAACAGAGCTATTGCAAGGAGGAGAAGATATATTAGTTTCTTCAAAGACAACCTTTGAAGTTAATGAATTTTCAAATAAAGAAATTTATGAAAAATGATTTACACCTCTAATGGTAAGTAGATAGGTCGTTTCTGTTTTCCAACATCAAGGCATGGCATATATGCAGATCTTTTAACTTCTATATTATGGTACTTCGCGAAGTATTCATAAACAGTAATCTCTACTGTCTCGGAATCCTCTCCCGAACTGTTTCCATTCCTCACTTTCAACAAGAAACTGTCTATAAATCATGATCAGAAGTCTTTTAGTAAGTTACAGAAAACTCAGGTAGGTTGCTGCTTACTTACAGTTGCTGGTTGCAAGGTTTCTCACTCAAACCTATAATCTTGTACAACATGTTACTGTGTGTAGCCCTTACTCTCATGTTCTTGAGCATCTTTCTTGCCTGGGGTTCAGTCTCGGTATTAGAACAAGCAAAATCAAAACAGGAACAAAATAAAGTATGTGGTTGAAGACTGAATACCTTTCGCCAATCTATATTGCGACTTTCTTTCACATTCTGGTTAGCCAGAAGGAAATCCTCAACGGGCCCTGGTTTCAAGATCAAAGTAGTGGATGCATCTGAAAGATATGAAATATTTAGCAGCATATACTCGAAGAGCACAGAATGTAGTGCAACCACATGAAGAGAAGCTAGCGGAGTAATTAATACCCATATTTAGAGATAAGCCAGCAAGAGTTGGACGAAAGCTAGAATAGAATCCTCTTACACTTGTCAAACCCCCTCCAATATCAGTAAACATTCGTGCATCGTCATTAAAGAATGATTGCCGAACCAAAAGGCACCCCCTGCATCCAATATTCAACATTCAAGTACAAGCTACCAAATGTACAAGTACAACACTTAAAAGGTAATAAAGAGAACCGTTCAGATGCGTGTTGCCTCAGCACAATGTCCAATACCCTGAGAACATCTTGTCCTTTAGATACTTCAGCTCCTTGAAGAGCATCAGATATGCATTTTAAAGGTATTTTAGCTGTAAAACTAATCTCGACCATGTATGTTCTTGACAGCAATGATTGCTTGGACCTTTTGCTAGACTCGCCGGAACTTCCGTTATTAGAAAGGTTCCCACTTCTACACAACAGAGGGATTGGTTTAAGTTGAAGAAACACCACTAAAGAATAAATGAGAAAATAAAGCAGTCAAAGTTTCAATAATGGAAGTTACCGTATGGCAACAAATTCATCAAGAACCACCGTGAACTCTAAGTGGTTCTGTGGTAAGGGCCCCACTGTATACAGACTGTTCTGCCCATCATAGGCAAACCTCTTCCCAGAAAGCTCAGAAGAGTATGTTTGGTATAGTTTATCAGTGACTTTCCTGCCAATTACTTGGTTGTTGATAACCGGATTACTCTCAGAACTAATAGAAACCTACAATCAAAACAAACATTATATACGTTATATATATATATATGCAAAGACCTGAAGAAAAAATTAAGGGTATAGTAGATTACACTGTACTGATAAAAACTTTCATCCGGATTGTTGATGGAAACACTGATGTGATTTGTGCGTAACGACACGTGTTTGCCAGAAGTCCCAAATCCGGGCCGTGTCAGTAGAGATATCTTTGGCAGCTGTTCCATTGGTGCCATTTTCTCATCCGGCAGTGTAGATGGCAGTGGTGAGCCCAAGGACTGAGAAATATCCCCTTCCTCTCCAGCTTCTTCCATTTTCATTCAACAGCTATCCTAAAGCAATTAAGCAGCATGAGAATTGGAAGTTTCATTTTAGTAACAAATATTAAAAATTAGGATCAAGGAAACAGAGCAGAACACACTAAATCTAGTTTCACTTTATCACTGTGTAGTTATATAATACAACTCTAGATTCCATTGACAGCATTAAAGCAGTGATACATGAAAACAAAAAAATTAGGCATTATTCATATATGGAGATTCAGAATGTCCAGCACTAATTCAATTATCAGCACCATATTCTACTGGCCAAAAATACTCCCCAAACTACAAATAATCACTCATATAGTTGTCATAAATTGATGAATGATAGCAGATCAGGTTCTTGATGAACATTAATCTAATAAAGGCCAGGTTCTTGATGAACATTAATCTAATAAAGGCCGCTTCACATTTAACTCTAATAGGCCTAAACTTTAATCCATATCCGAACACTACACATTCTCAAACATTCACCGAACCTAAAAGAAACTCAAATATAGTTAAATATTAGATCAAGAAATCAACAGCGAAATATTGATTCCCTAATAAGAGGTAGTATCACTGAACTATAAAACATCCAAAACAATTCAATCGGTGCAATATCAATTTCCCCAATAATAATTAGAGACAATGCTGAACCATAAAACATTTAAGAAATCAACTGCCCAATACAAATACTCAAATACTCGTTTCTTTCAGTTAAACCAAAAAACAGAAGAGCATCTGATCGCAAGAATTATCAACTGTGAAACATGAACGGAGCTCCAATCATTTAAATACAGTTCCAACTAACATCCAATTAGTTCCACACAGTCACATAGAAACTGTATAACTACACAAATTCCATCTAAATTACGAAAGCAATCATAATTAGTCAAAACCCTAAGAAAAACAGCATCAAGAAATCTTTGAAGAATCAAACCAAAACTGCCGAGACCGAACTCAAGAACACACAATCGCCGTCTCCAATCAACAAGAACTCAAACCATCCACTAACACGTCATATAACACACAATTGCGCGACAAAATCAATATCTGAAAAAAAAAAAAAAAAAAAAAAAAAGCTAATGAAAGAAGCATCAAACTCCAGAATATAAAGCGACGCCGGCGGTAAACAACGGCAAGCCAATGCAGCACCGAAACCGCAACAGAAATGCGCCGACGAGCAATAAATTTCAAAACGAAAACCCCAACTTTAACATCGAATCGAATATCAATTCCTCACAAAACTGGTTGTACAAACCCCCAATTTTTCTAGAAGATTGCAGAAATAGTGAAATATCACCTTCACAGCGGCGCAGTAGAGGGTCAAATCGAGGGTTTCAGCGCAAGTACTTCAACAACCCCCGCAATTTTGCTGCATTTCGGGTACAGAGTACCGACGGTCGTACCACTGGCTTCCAATGGAAGCGCTGATTCTCTGCCGGCAATATGAAGAAACTAAAATGGAGGGAAAATGAAATGGACACGATCTTTTGGGGAATTATAGCCTGCGGCGGAGTGTATACTAGGAAAAGTGTTCTTGAAATCGAGGCCGTGATTTTATATCTTTATCTTTCCTACATTTCATTGACGGTCATTATTGTGGGTCTTATCGCAGTTAATAATTTTCAGCCGCTTATTTGACAGTGTCATTATCTTTGATTTATTAATGAACCAAAATAAGTCAATGTCTTTTCATTTTTAATTTTTTTTTCTTTTGAAAAAACTGTTTTTTATTCTTTAGTCTCTACGTGCAATAGCTCAATTGTAGGCGGCCTTTTTTTGTGTACTGAACCTTTTATTCAGGGCATCGATTGACATAAATTACACAATGGTCCATTTATAGGATAATTGAGATAAAATCCCTCCACTCCTTATTTGATTGGAATTCAGTCATTATTTTAAATATATGTATTTGCACTTCTTACTTTACTGATGTGTTTATATTTAATTCCCCAATATTTAATCTATCTTTTTGCTTCTGTTTGTTTATTCGTCCAATTTTTCAATTTTTTGTATAATTTTTTTTATTTCTCTCGCAGTTAATTTCATCATCCTCTTCTTCACTCCAATTGGACAAATGTGTTTCCTATGTTCCCATTAGAACCCTAACGAGTATCCTTGCATCTCTCCTCTTCATGCTCTAACATTCAGGTGAGTATATAATGATTTTTATTTTCGAAATGAAATATTATGTCTTTAAGCCGTGCATAGCACACAAATGATGGGTATGTCAAAAAATCATAATCGATTACAACGATCTTGCACGATTACATTGATAGCATGTCTGAGCGGATATATTTTAAATGGGAGTATATGCATAAGTATTAAACTGGTATATATGTTGTTACTGGAAGTATATCAAAAATATATATATTTTTAGAATTAATAAAATAATTTTAAAGAAATAAATTTATATTTATATTTTAGGTTAGGGGTAACATTAGTTATTTTGTGAAAAATTAAAATACCATGCTCGAGAATGCTTATTCACAATTAAAATTTTTTCAAAAATATCAATATGTAAATATATTCAAATTTCATTTGCAAAAATTTGGTTTTTCAAGCAATTAGATATTAAGGATTGTATGGATAATAGCTCATTCTCATATGTTAACTAAGATCATGAGAGTCATCTTCAAGTAATGTAACTCATCTCTATGTTGAATATGCCCGCTTTATTGAAGGTTTTTATCAATTTGTTTATATATTGTTCCAATCAATGTACTAATTTTATTATTTAGCACATTAGTTTATTGCAGCTAGCATATCTGATTTGGTTTGCTATTATTGAGAATATGGATGACAATTATCAAACATTTCTCTTACTCAAACAGCTTGTATTTCGAAACAGAAGTAAGCAAAATTTCAAATATGGATGTTTTTATCAATGCATTTCATTTTGATTTTTTCAATATTTAAAACAAACTACCATTCAATTGTCGACACTTTTGATTTTCGTGATGAATTAATTAGCAGATGAAGTCATTGTCTATCAACATATGATATCTATAGGAAAAAGGAGAACTTGACTTTAAATACTAAAAAAAATGTAGAAGCATTCGATTTAGTATCTTTTGTAGTTAAATTTGTTGGTTTTGTAATATAATTGTAGAAGGTGAGGTACAATTGTAAATTTTTGTGAAGACTTGATTAGCTTTGATGAAAAGGGGCAAAAACAGTCTGAAACTGCTAATCACTTGTTCATCTAAATGTGAGCTTCATGTAATAGCTTTAGAAACAGCCATGAAAATACGGTTATTGTGGTTGTCTCGAGCAGAAGAAAAGAAGTTGTAAATACAGGATACAGTAGTCCTTTTGAAGGTGTAATTTTTTATTTTGTCCTGAATGTCTCTTTAGTGTGTAATTACTTTTGGCGTGCTTGATATAATGTAATATTATAGGTAAATATACAAACAACATGATCCCACTTACATAGAACCACAGTTTTAATTTGGATGTACTGTGGTAAATGAATACGAACAACAAGTATTTGACAGTCCTATTTTGTTTGTGTATTATCAGGTTTTCTTAAATGTTGTTAATTTAAGTCATTCTCACGCAGAGGAATCAATTCGCGTATTCGATTAGAGCACTTCTTTGAAGAATCGTGCTAAAGTGACTATTCTTCATCCATTTACCGAAAACTCAGAACAAATCATGAAGTTGACATCTTAATTGCAGCTGCAGAAGTATTCAATTTGGTCCGTGATAGTTGGTTAAAACCAAGCACAATTGTTGTAGATTTTTAAAAGTGTAATTTTTTTATGTTTTGATAGGATGTCCATCAATCCTTTTCTTGTAATTACTTTTGGTGTGCTAAACATAATGTAATATTGTATATAAATATACAACAATAAGAGTATTGTTGCATTGAAGCTCTTTTTGTAAATTTTATGTATTATGGTAGATGAACAAAAATTACGGGTATGTGATGATAGTCTTTTATATATGACTTGTTAACAACAGAGGTTTCTGAAAATGTAACAAAGGTACATCAAAACTGTGCTGGAGTACTTTCCTGCTCAACCGAGTTACTATTTTTTAAAATTCTTCTGACTGATTGATATTTGAGTTTGTGAATGTGCGACAATTTGGATTATTATGTTTATGGGTCAAAATATTTTAGAAAAATGTGTTTGTCCTATTACACAAAAAAACACTTGAAGTCCTAGTAGTAGATTACAACTCACGTTTTCACTTGAATGTTGTTGTGTGTGTTACGATATGTATTACTATGTAATAGGTCTAAAGATTTTTAATTCGTGGCAACAATTATTTACTCTAACAACCAATATAATTTAATTTAGTAATTTATGACTTGTTTATCCATCTACAAATGGAGATTGGACTATAAGTGTACATATACCAAACAATAGAACTAAGTTATTTCTGACTTAGTCATTTATAGTAAATATATGTTATTTATCTTTTCATACAATTCAGGGTGTCGCGAGAATACTATCAAAACGAATTCATCATTGGTTACCGACAACAAGTGAATATTTTGAATAAAAAAGGTCTGTTTTCCAAGCACATATTATCGGAGTATATATACTTGTTACTGAAGCATATAATATCAGTATTATAGGTACATAAGATTTGTGACAAGGTATGTCGGTATTTGATGCAGGAATGTAAGTATGTGTTTCGGGTACAAACACTGACATTCAAGGTATGAATGATGATTGCTTAGGTATTTTCCTTGTTGTAGCAGGTATTCGTGAATGTAGTTGATTTCAGTTGATCCCCTGACGGAGGGACACAAACTCGGTGAGAATACTTCTTTTCATAGCCTCGTTGGAAAAATTTAGGTACTGTATGTTTATATTTGACAGCTTATGCCATATTTTTCAATGGCAAGACCACAAAACATGTATGAGTCCCAAAAGAACATAATTTAACTAAGTTACTTATGATTTGTTTAGCTATCCATAATAAATATGTGTTGTTTATCTTTACATACAATTACGGAATTTACAGAAATATTATAATGATAAATTTATCCCTGTTTATAGACAAAAATTGAATATTTTGAACTGAGAACGACATGTTTCCCAAGCACAGGTTTCCAGGTATAGATATTAGTTACAAGAGCATATGAGATACGAGTTCCGGGGTATATTGGTAAACGAATGAGGTACCCATTGATGCTAACTTGTGTGAAAAAATGACATGTTATAATATTATGTAGCTCTTATAGTGTTTGAAATCTATTATTGTGAATGCAATTAGATAAAGTATTAGTAGATTAATACTCTCCATTATTAATCTGTACAACCGTTGCATATGCATCATAACTAAGTACTAACCTTACCAACAACACAACTAAGTAACCCATTGCCCATTGTTCACCTATATGGATCATGTTGTTAATTTTTCTAAACAACTTCTTAATCTTCTATATTGATATAATTGGCTATGCTAAAGATGAATACATCTCATGTACGAATATTGCTAAAGATAATGTTATACTTTACTTAATGTTCAAGATATGAAATATTAGACCTCCCGGACATAAGTAACTTAACTTGGGGTATTTACTAGTTTAATATAGGTATATCATTATATATTCGAGGCATGTCATGTTTGACAGAAAATACATATAAATGTGATGAAGGCATAAACCTTCGCAGTATATCTATATGTTTTTGTTTCTTAGGTGCACCACTAATGTAGTCAGGTATCCGTATATGCACTTTTGTTCATTGCAGGAATTACTTCAAGCATTAAAAGGTCTTGTAATGAATTAGTTAATTCCAATTTAAGAGCAATATGCATAACTTTTCTGGCTCGTTGATGTCTTCGTACAAGGATAACCTTCCTAACTAATGAATAACATATATATGATCATATATATATATACAGTTTGAAGGTATTTTGATCTAGTTAGACGGATACATCGATCCATTATGGAGGTACACTATGTGCATTATTATAATTTTAACCATATGAAGAATTAATCATATAATCATTCACGGCACAATTTATAGTATTACTCCAAAAATTAAGCTTAACCAAATTTAACCCACGATTCAATTCTTCAATCAATATTAATATAATCTTATCGAACATGAGGCAAATCTAACCAATTCAACTAACTATTCAATAGAAATAACACACTACCCAAATCAAGCACAAATAAAAAAATCCAAATCGATCCCAAATCCATCCAAATTCATTACAACGTTCACTTACTATGTGCTGCTCAATGGAATCTACGGTTCGGAGGTGGACCTTTCAGTATTTTGGCCGTAATTTTACCAAGGCATCTCTTCACATTATCAAACTCGCCGCTGATACTGCCGGATTCGCATGGATGTAATACTTGGAGAACATACAGACCAATCGGTACTGCAAACCGATTGATAATCGATTTGTATTCCTTACCCGATCTGTAAATAAATATTATCAGTCCACATTATCCAAATCTCGAATTTATTTAAAATTTTATCAGAATATATCAAGACTACGTAACAACACATTCCGAGT